TAAGGTGACCATTAATCCAGTGCCTACTCTCATTACTGAACAGACCAAGGCTTGTAATGGTAAGATACATAAAGTTGACAAAGTATGCATGGGTAAACCTTTATATTTGGATTGTGCTCATATATTATACCGCAGGCTCGGCCATGCCAGCTTCCCGGTTATTAAGAAAATGCAAGATTTTTCTGATGGGCTTAAGATAAAGAATTGTAATACCTATTTGGAATGTGCCATCGGTAAGGCAGCAAAATCTAAAACTGCTGCTATACCTAAAGTCTCTTCCCGTCATGCAAGGTACCCTTATCAGCTGGTACACATGGATTTGGTTGGTCCTTTTAGACCCTCCCTTGGTAGGGGGCGTTATTTTTTAACAGTAGTAGATGATTACTCTCGTTATGGCCATGTATTTATTTTAAAGGACAAAACTGAAGTCTTTACCAACTTCAAATATCTTTACAACCAGATCCAAACGCAACACAAGGTGTGCATCGCTCAGGTGCAGAGTGATAGGGGGACTGAGTTTACATCCAAGACTTTTGAAAAGTGGATGAAGGAGAGAGGTATCCTCCATTTTAAATCATCCCCTCGAACTCCGTCCGAGAATGGCATTGTAGAAAGGAGAAATGGCGTGCTGCAGAATGTCATGAACTGCCTACTTGCAGATGCTGACATGAGCCAAGTTTTTTGGGCAGAAGCGGTCAAAATGGCTAATTATCTAGTCAACAGGACGTGGAGTAGTGCCATTAACCAAACCCCATACTTCCTGGTCCATGGAAGGAAACCTAGCCTCTCACACCTGAGAATTTTTGGTTCCTATGCCTGGGTCCATATTCCGAAGCACCTCAGAAGAAAGGGGGGCAAGGCATGAAGGAGGCTCAGATTTATAGGTTATGCAACCGGCAGCAAGGCCTCTAGGTTTGTAGACAAAAATAACCTTGTCATTGTCTCTAGATCAGCTTCCTTTGAGGAGGGGTCAAATTGGTCAAAAATTCATTCCAATGAACCTGGTTATTCCCCTATTAGAAGCGACACTGAACAAGCAGCACCACCTGAAGAGGATGAACCAACAAACTCCAAACAACTGACCAGCGAAGATCCGGATGGTGATGAATCCCTACCTGACTCTGACGATTCAGACAAGGAATCCCTGGGTGACTTCACACCTTCTGCCTCACCTAAACGACCATATCTTCGCAGCGCCTGGGACAGAGGCCCACCCCATTTTGATTGGAAAGATACCTCCGGCAGCTCCAATTCTGACACCGATGCTGCGGATGACAATGATGATGGTGAGTGGCAATTTCCCAGACGGTCAAAACGCTCCAATAAAGGGGTGCCACCCAAAAGGTTGGACATTGGCTGTGTTGCCTCAGTCAACAGCGTTACCATGGCCCCTAAAACGTACTCAGATGTCCTCCAGCTTCCCGAGGAAGAACAGCGCAGGTGGAGGGTGGCAATGGAGCGGGAAATGGACAGTCTCAAAAAATTGAAAGTCTTCATCCCCATGGAAGTCCCCAAAAAGAGGAAAGCAATTGGCACCCGTTGGGTCTACAAGGTCAAGCCAATGCCCAACAACAAACTCCTCTATAAGGCCCGGCTGTAGCACAAGGCTACGCACAGCGCTACTTGCAGGACTTCGATGAAACATACTCCCCCACCATGAGAGCGGAAAGTGTGAGGGCTGCTTTGGTCACCGCAGCAGCACATGGGGAACACATTTTTCAATTTGATGTGCAAACTGCTTATTTACACGCACATCTAAAACAAGAAATTTATGTCAGAGGTGCCCCGGATTTCAACGGCAGGAAGGCCACACCTGGCTTCTGAAGAAAAGTTTGTACGGCCTCAAACAATCAGGCAGACTGTGGTACAAATGCCTGACTAAAACTCTCAAATCACTGGGTTTCCATCCATCTCCAGCTGATAAATGTACCTTCACAAGGGATACCAAAGGGGGGCTGGAGAAAGTCCTAGTGTATGTCGATGACCTTTTATATATAGGGCCTGACAAGGGGGGATGTATTATATTTGCCAGGACCCTACAAAAAAAGTTCACTCTAAAGTCTTTAGGATATGTGGACAAGTACCTAGGCGTACAAATCATCACTACACCAAAAGGTTTTGCTCTCTCCCAAAAGGAAAAGATAGAGGAACTCTTGGTGAAATGTAAAATGGAAGATAGCAAGCCAACAGCTATCCCAATGCAGACCGACTATTATGGATTGGCACACAAGGATAGCCCAGAGTTCCAAAATAATACTCTATTTAGGTCAGTGATCGGCTCATTACTATATATAAGTAACTGGAGCCGTCCAGATATTGCCCTGGCCGTAAACCTGCTATCTAGACAAGTGGAACATCCTACCCAGTTCCACTGGTTGGCCATTAAAAAGCTATTAAGGTATCTCAAGACCACAGCAGATTACGTGCTTCGCTTGGAACCTGAGAATAGAGACAAGGCCCAATTAAAATGCTTCGCGGATGCGGACTGGGCCGGAGATACCAAGACACGTAGGAGTACTTCAGGCTTCTTGGTACTATTAAATGAGGCACCCATCCATTGGCATGTGGGGCAACAGAAATTTGTTTCGTGCTCCACTGCTGAGGCCGAATATGCATGCTTATCAGAGGCAGGGAATGATCTGATATGGTTTGATGCCTTAATTTCTAGCATCTGGACACCACCAACTTTGCCCATCCAAATTATAGAAGACAACACCGGGGCCATAGGCATTGCCAAAGCCTATGCGGTGGGAAAAAGGTCCAGACATATTGATATCCGCTATCAAAATGTTAGGCAACTAGTAGAGATGGGGTTTATATCTTTATCACATTGTCAGACCAAATATCAAACAGCTGATATTTTCACAAAACCTCTACCAGCAGATAGGCACAAAGATCTGTGTAAAAAGTTATGTCTCACAGGGTAAAATCTGTTGTGCATTACATTTGTATGTTTGCATGCCATTGGCTTGCAAGGAGGGGAACTGTCAAGTATTTGCAAGCCATTGGCACATGTATCATACAGACACTAGTGGAGGCAGGAAGTGCCCCCACCCCTATGTGGAGAGAAGGGGCTTACACTGAGTATAAAACCCCCTCTAACCTTTCCACCATGCTCCCTTTTACGTTTGTTCTCCATGAGACATGATCTTTGATAAGGGTAGTCACACACGCTGTGTGCTCCCTATCCTAATGGATATTAAGACAGCCTTTGTATATAGTTAATATGTTTTGTTATATGAATAAATACATTTATCACATTTATTCATGCATCTGCCTTTGGACTCTTCTATGCTCCCGGGTGTTTCTACGATCCCAATTTCCACAATCACTTAGAAATGATCTTCTGTAACGAATGTGTGCAGAAAGGACAATGAGGATATCTCAGGGACAAACTGACATGTTTAGAGTAAAATGAAAAAAAAGGTGAAGAGTAAAATAATATTCACCATATTACAACCATATTTTGATTCAGTTATGCAATTCACCTAGTCTTCGATCCATACTAAATGTGACATTTCAACATTTACCTGAAACATAATTGTCGGTTTTCAGCTGAGTGAAGTATGTATTTACCTGTTGTAGCAACAGACTTGGTTACCTGAATCCAGTGGTGGGATTCAGCCAATTTGCACCACTTCGGGAGAACCAATTGTTAAACTTTCTGAGCAGTTTGGCAAACTGGTTGTTGGAAGAAATCATTAGGGCAGAGAACCGGTTGTTAAATTACTTGAATCCCACCACTGCCTGAATCATCAGAAAGATTCAGTAATTATAGGAATTCCACACTCTCTCATGGTCTCTTTTATTCAAATAAATGAGAACTATTAGAGGAGATGGAAAAAAACAGTTTGAGGTGTATTAGATATCCCATCCCATTTGAACTTCATACTGCAATAGATTTGATTTGAGAAAGGACCCTAAACACGAGGGATGAGGATAAAAGTGGAAAAGGAAAATCCAGTTGTCATTCAGTAACTTCTGCGTTATGTGTACCCTGCGTATGTTGTAAAAAATGGTGCATTAAAAAGGCAAATAAAGAATGGTTATGTGTAAACTATTGGTCCTAGACTTACACTGGTAATTACTATTTGTATTTTAATAATTCTTTTCAGTGAAGTATGATTCATAGCTGACATTGTATAGGATGATTCATGTCACAAGTTAAATATTTATATTCCGTTATAAATTTAGACCCTGTAATAAAGGAGAAGCAGAAAGTGTGTTAATGAAACTTGGGGGGGATTAGGGAAAATTAAATAGGTTCAGGTTTATATGGATATTGGTTTCACACAGGTGAAAATTATATTTTCACCTATGTATATTGTTAGAACACACTCCTTTATTAAGATCAGTGGCCACAATACTATCCCTCACTTGTTGGCTGTGTGTGTTTGTATCAGGTCCTATCTGACTCACCCTCTGATCATTTGATTTTATTGTGTAGTCTATCTATTTCTTTATCTTGGTAACTAAAATAAATTTTATGACACCTATTGGTCTGTCTATTTAACAAAAAGAATGGATCAGGAAAAGATCCCTTCTCTCGTGCAGTTTTCCTCTTGCTACATCTTCCTTTCTTTTACCAACACTCAGCCTACAGTAATATTGGACAAAGTCATTCTTATGCCAAGTAGTATCCCAAAGTATTTAACATGAGAAAAATATAATCTTAAGTAATTCTTTTTTTCTTGTTCCTTTCTGAGGTCTTAGCTAATAGCTTAACTTTTATTTTATACTACTTCGGCCCAAGCAACCATATCAACTGGAAAACCTCAGTGGCAAAGTAACCATTACAATAAGTAAACAGAAGGGGAAGAATGAGACTGTGTGAAATTATAGCATAATATGTGGTTGAAAAGTAGATAACACCTTTCACACTAGAAAAAGAGATGCCCCCCTCTCTCCCCCTCCCCCCCTCTCTCGCTCCCTCCCCCCTCCTTCTGTCTCTCATAGGAATATAATGCCCCAGGTCCCTGTTAAAGAAGTTGCACAATGTCTGCAATGCTCATTTAGCTTTATTTCAAGGAATATTTGCCAAATTTTACTTCAATGCATAAATGTGTTCAGTTTGATAGATAGCAATTGATTCATATAAAGAAAGATAAAGCGATAGCAGGCGGTAATCTCAGGTCATTGGCCATATCTTGAAGACATTCCAGGTGGTAGATGGAGATGTCATTATTTTCCACCCCAGCTGTACAAATGAGATAAAATAATAGATTAATCAAAATGAGTTTAAGGTAATTTCAGTTTTTTGCAAAGCTTAGTCAATGCCAACAATTTCAGGCAGATAATCTCAATTTAGTATCTCTATTAGAGGAGAATTTTCTTACCGTCTGCAGCACTTCCATCCCAACCGACAGTCCACTTGCCCAAGGCATTGGTGGCGAGGAGGACACCGTCTGCGAATGCAGCGTCCTCCTTGTCTAGCACAGAGGTGGTGGGCATTCCCTATGAAAAGAAAAAGAGGAGACAGGTAAACAATGGGTAAAGATTCCTTAATATTTAAATACATTTTTCCTTCCAAGACAATACCTTCTCCTACAGAATTGCAGGATTCCTAGGACTACAACAAGTTTTCTCTGACCACAGGAATCCATTTCTGCTGATCTCCCTGCAGCAGCTCAAATACATCAGCTATTAACCCAGGTATGAAATCTGGTTCAGAGATGAATTAGCTGGTAAGCCTACATCTACTAAGGTAGGAGGAAAGAAATAATCTGGTTCACTTGAAGGGAAACCCTTGCTGTGATATATTTCTCTCCAGTATTATATGGATCCTTGCTTGGTAAAAAATAATGCTGAGTTACAGTGGCCAGTTCTGCTGGTGAAAATCTTGAGTGAGAAGGGTTAACTTCCTTTAAACTTCAGGGCCTGGCATTGTCCCTCTTCTCTTAATGTTTCTATCACTGCTCTTTTCTTCTCTTGAAATGCTGTGCATTTGTGATATTTTTCTGCAATTTCTTCTCTTTTTCCCACATTATACAAATATATTCACTAGATGATTAATATCTATCTTTTATTTTTTCCCAACTTTATTTTTAAAAAATAACTCAAGATGGTGAATGCATCTAGTACTCCTTCCTCCTCCTTTCCTCTCAACAGGAACATCATGGAGAGCTTTGGTCTGAGTGTGAGAGAGAGAGAGGCAGACAGAGTCTCATCCAGAAAGATCCAGCTGGGTTCCATCTAATAGAAAGTAGTGAGTTATCAATCCTTTCTAAATTATTGCTAATTTTGTTTCTTACCTGGTTCAGACAGGAATGCAAGGAAAAGAAATGCGAACAGCAGATAAAGGATCTTCATGCTGGCTTTGGTTCTGGACCAAATCTTACTCCTGGGACAGACACAGCTCTCTATTTATAGAATTATAATGATTGCATCATATCACCTCAGTGGCAATAATTTTTTTAGGTGTTATTTTTACAGTTATTACATAAAGCAATGGTGCCGCTTCCTTGTATTAAAACACTCCTGTGGGTTTGATGTTGCAAAAGTCCTTGAAAGAGCAACAGACTTAGTTGAACAGCTAACCTGCTACGGTTGCAAAAGATTGGAGGTTCAGGACTTGCAATGTCCTAATGGAGTAAAGAAAATTTCTTACTGAATTGCTGCCCAAACTCTTCCAGTCTAAACTGATAATGCTCAGCCATATTCGCTAGTGGCTGGAGTTTTGGAAGAGCCCTTAGTACCAAATGGTAGAAATCTGGGTCTGACACATTTTTATGGGTTGGTTTTGGGAAAACAGATGCTCTGCTTTTTGGTGGGTGTTTGTGGTATTCAGATGAAGAACAGGCTTCTTTGGCTTTCATTGTAGTTTCCCTCTCTCATGCAGGTGATTTCTATTTCTCTGAAGACAGAGAATATGTCTAGTGTTGGAAATATTCCCGTAGCCTTAATCAAGAGTTATTAGGAGTTCTGTGGGACACAGCAGATTAACTGAAATTAAGAAGGAAAGCAGGGTTCTAAAAGCTGTGTATTCTGTGAGTGTTGGTTATATTGAATGTTTCCTGCTGCTTCAGCTATAGAGGATCTCATGGGGCCATACTTTTATTATTTATCTCTAGATTTCAGTGGTGAGAACAATATGACTTTACACTTAGGCAAGAAAAACCAAATGCATAAGTATAGAAGAGGTGATATGTGGCTCAATAGCAGTAGCTGCGAGAGGGATTTCAAACTAGCCACTTACATATGAGCCAGAAGTGTGGTGCAGGTACCAAATACACCAAAAACCCAATGCTGCATCAACAGAGAGATTTTATCAAGGTCACATGAAATGTTAATTCCATTTTATACTGCTTTGGTAATTAGAAGCTTGGAATATGTAGACAGCTTCGGATACCATGATAGAAACTTTAGGAAGGGTGCAATAAAGTGCAAGAAGGGGGCTGGAGGCTAAAACATAGCCTCCAGAATGGTTGCAGAAATTGGGTGTGTCCAATATAATAAAGAGAAGGATTAGGGGTGACATGCTAGTAGCCTTCCAATATTTGAAAGGCTGTCACAGAGAAAAAAAGGGGTGTGTGTGGTTGTCAACCTAATATCCAAAGAACTGAGAGATATTAGAACATATCAGAAAGAGATCCAACCTAGAATGAAAGAGAAATTACCTGAGGGTGAGAACAATTAACCAGTGGAACAGCTTGGCTCCAGACATTTTGGGTGTTCTATCACTGGAGATTTTTAAGAATAGTTTGGAAAGCCATTTGTCTGGAATGGTATAGGGTCTCCTGCTTGAGCAGGGGATTGGACTAGAAGGTCCCTTCCAACTTGGTTATTCTATACATTTTGTTGGTTCTGAAATGTCCCATCCAGTTGCCATGGATACTATAGAAATTAAGAGATGATTTCAAAGTGAAGCACAAGCCATTTTCCCTTACCCTGGGTGACATAGTTACTTAAAATCAGCTTTCACAAAGCAACATATTCAAACTTAGTTACATAGCTATCATAGCTATATTTAGTTTCACAAACTAAATATGACTCTTCAACATTTGCCTCGGTCACATATAGTTTTGGGCTTCCAGCTAAAGGAAGATTGCAGCAAGAAAAACAGTAAACAAACTTAAATAAGTTAAAATAAAAATAAATAAGATATATTCATGTATTCTTCCCACTGACTCTGATTCAACTGCAGGAGAACTGCTATTAGTAAAGGGAAAACATTTGAGGGTGTTTTAGACTAGTCCATCTTTTCTTCACCCTATCTGGAGTACAATTGGTCTGAGAAAGGATCCTAATTGCTGCAGTGGAAAGGCATACTGAAAGGGTCCTTCATGAAATTATTGAGCCTTGTTGGTGATGGCAATGGATAGGAAGTGGATTAAGGATACATTCCCAGCAATGAGTGGAAAAGGTGGTTATTGGGCCACATCTTCTAAACTTTGCCTTGAGGGTGGGAATTTATTTCTGTGCATTACAAATGATCCCTTCCCTTTTGAATAGCCTTGCTAAGGGACCTCATAAAAGATGAACATGCAAAATTAGAAATCAACCACAGGTACACTAAATAGTAAGCAGTCCAAGTGAGACTGAAAATGGTAAAATTGGCAGCTCTGGAAAGAAAGGAAATCAATATTTAATAATGTAGGTTTTTGCTTAAGTACCACAGAAAGTAGTTAATGAGGACACTCTGGAAGTCAGTTGCATCTCTAAAACTGCCTTGAAACCTCAAAATAATGTTGAACTCCTGCCATTACCCAAGAAAAGTACCTTGTGTAATGAGTGGGTGCAGCAACGGTAATGAAGAAACCTCAGATACAAACTGACTTGGTATTTGGTAATCAAATTAAGTAAGGTAAAGTAATAAATAAATGGGATTATTACTTACATTGAATAGAAATAATTGAGCAGTGTTTGAAAGAAGCTGCCTACATTTCTGTGTGAAGAAGTTGGTATTGTTCAGCTTTGTTAGAAAGGCATTTGAATTGACCTGGACTTTTATTTATTATTCATGCTGATGGCTTTTTGTTGTTTGGGATTAATGGTTAGGCTTGAGAGAAGTTTTTATTTCAGTTATCTCAGTTAACTTGCCACATGGAAAGTGAAGCCATGATACAACCTGCCCAAATGTGTGGACCGTTTTCTTCTGTACTGAGCCTCATGATTCCATACATTTTCCTGCTGAGATATATATTTTAGTATTGGCAATTATTTCTTGGGAATTTGGCTTGGTAATCGCACTGATGTCATATAGGAAATAGATTAAGGTAATTCAAGAAGTATTTTGTGTCTAGCATTTTTATTATCTTGTGTCTTTTATCATTCAAAACATGGAATTTAGTGCAGATTTTCATGAGGATATTTCACATACCCTGCTTCCAATCCGTTATCCCTGAAAGATACTTTTAAATGAAGCAAGTTAATCTTCTCTGCAATACTGAGAAGAATTGGTGGTTCTTCTCTGTCTGAGAAGACGGCAGTTTTATATGTCCCATGCTTCCTCCTCCAAATGTCTCACAAACCTGTTTGAATTCAATCTCTATTATTCAGACTGTAGTGCAGAGAATGTGAAGAGAACACCAAAAAGTATTCAAACCTGACCAATAGGAAACTGCATTTGTTTAGTGGTTTCCCAAATGGGTTTCATGAAAAACTATGTGAGAGCAAGTTGATTACCCAAAACCTAAAAAAACAAAACAATATAATGCAATGTGATGCAATGCAACACAACGCAATGCAACGCAACGCAACGCAAGCCAAGCCAATCCAAGCCAATCCAAGCCAAGCCAAGCCAAGCCAAGCCAAGCCAAGCCAAGCCAAGCCACTCCCAAACCTCAAGCTTTAGCATTATTTCCAATTACAAATCCTGTGGCTTCTGAAGGTGAAATTATAGTATGTGGATAATTTTGTGGAAAGGCACTTCTTTAACTTTCACCATGGCTGCATAAATCTGACTTTCTAAAGAGGCTAATTAGCTTTGACTTTGATTAGTACTTGGATGGTGGACTGGACCTTTGTGCACACACAGGTATACTTGGCCCTGTAAAGTATTGCTGTATATATATGATGAAAAACTATTTGGATGTGTTCTTCAAAAAAAAAAAAGCTTCTTGGGGTGCTAAACATGTAGGAATTTTGGGGTTAAGTCTTGCTTTATACCTATTCATACCCTCAACATAGCATGGCTAATGAAATGATTATTGAAAATCCATCTGGTTCATTTCCAAGCTGGGAGAAAGATGCTGGAAACAACATGGAGGCTGATTGGAAAGAAATATTCCCTTTATTGAAGCAGAACCACCAACCACATGGATTCTGGGACAGCTGACAAAATGAAGTTTAGAGTGGGTGGGTTTTATACTTTCTGGATTCCTATGGGCTCATGTAGGGGTCATGGCTGTCTCTATAGGCAAAAGGGGAAATGCAAATCCTAGGTGTTTGTCTTAGCTAATTTGTCAACTTTTTGCTTGTTGCTT